GCTGCGGCCTGGGCCCTGCCCCGCTGCGCTCCGGGTAAAATGCATCGCTTCCGCGGAGCTGCCCGAGCCCGTCGTGTTTACGTCACCTCTCACAGCGCTGTTCTTCGCGATGAAGTTACTTCAGTGCGCTCACCCTTAAGTGCGGCGACGCTCTCGTCCCCCCGGTGCCTTCAGCTGGGAGGGCGCGGCGTTTCAGGAGGAGCCTCGAGGCCGCGCCACGGCGGCGGCTCCTCGCTCTCGGTGCCCTGGGAGAGGGGGTTCGGCCGGCAGGCTGTCGGCCGGTGAGCGGCTGCGTGGCCCCCTCCGGGCGGGCCCTGCAGCTCTGCCTCTGCCTGGTGAAGGGAAGGCTGCTTGGGAGATAAAACCTGCTCAGTAGGTACAAGTGGGGTCAGCTTTCGCGGCTGGTCATCTGAAAACGGAGCGTCTGATTTCTGGGACGTAAATGGTAGGCTTTGGGTTCGAAACTGGCTGGGTGGAAGGAGAAACCAGCAGAGCAGGAGATCGCATACTGATAAAACATCGCTCAGGAGCTCTCGGAGGCCGGGTGCCTGCCGGGAGGGCCCTTGCGTCTTCCTGAAAACACTTTGTCCCAGGGCATGGTGCAGTTGAGAGGCAGGCAGCGGCTGCAAGTGAAGAGCAAAGAAGGTTGGATGTTACCAACAGGTAGCAAATCAGTAATGCTGAGAAGGTATCAAGAGAAGCATGAGGGAAAGATGGACTTAAGGCAAAGTGGTAAATCTGCACAGGAATCTGGTTAAACATTAGTAAGGAAAGATTGGAATTAGGAGGTGGTGAAAAAGGGCACCCAGCAACATTTCATAAAAATATAGAATCGTTTGGGTTGGAAAAGACCTTTAAGATCATCAAGTCCAACCATTAACCTAACCCTGCCATCCCACCACTAAACCATGTCCCTAAGCACCTCGTCTACCCATCCTTTAAATACCTCCAGGAATGGGGACTCAACCACATCCCTGGGCAGCTTGTTCCAATGCTTGACAACCCTTTCATTGAAAAAATTTTTCCTAATGTCTAAACTAAACCTGCCCTGGTGCAACTTGAGGCCATTTCCTCTTGTCTTTTCATTTGTTACCTGGGAGAAGAGACCAACGCCTACCTGGCTACAACCTTTCAGGTAGTTATGGAGAGTGATAAGGTCTCCCCTCAGTCTCCTTTTTTCCAGGCTAAACAAAGACTGCTGAAGACAATAGCCACATTATTGGTGATAAACACATTCTTTCTAATGCAATAATGTTTATTTACAGGAGTACTTTTGTGAAAAATAAATTTTTTTTTAATAGCTTTTCCTGGTTTTCAGTTTATTCTGAAGGCCATCATTGAATTTGCATGGATTTGGAAGTTAAAGGAGTTGCTGCATCCCCTCGAAGGCAGGCTCAGCTGTCATCAATGGGAAAGAAATGTCAGGTATGTTAATGGAAGGCTCATGGTTGTTTTCCTTATTTTGATGTTTCTACAAATATTTTCATCATACTTTGGAACATTTTTAGTTTCAGGTTATAATATATTCTGTAGCGAAGGAAACTTCCAAAACCTTATTTTTGTCAGAAAGTGAGAGTTTAGTATGACAGCTTCATGAAGGAGAGAATTTCCAATAAAAACAGCTGTCCTAAAATAACTGATGTTCTGGGTACTTAGCTAGGATGTGGAGAACTTGGGAACAAACTTACAATTCAGTGCGACGAAGGCTTGAACCTGTTCTGTGGGCTGTCGCAGGCTGTTGGTGAAGCTGGTAACAGGTGGGCCTATGTTTTTGTTTTGCAAGACAGGACGAAAGTAAAGCAACTCCCAAAACATAATTTCGAAAGCCATGATTTCAGATTGATGTGTAAAATGAATCTCAGTGCTCTGTGTTCATTATGAAGGGGAATTCTGTTTTCCAGGTATTCCTAATAGTCTATGTTTTGAGATAAGTTAGGTGTGCAACCCTCACAAGATCACTGCAGCAGAAACTTGCAGGCTAACTTTTGAAAGCCTGATTAGTAAAAATACGGTTTTGGATTCTGAGGGCCATTGTTTCTATTATACCTAAGGTAAGTATTTTTAATAGCAGTTGATTTTTCTCACAGATACTGTGGACTTTATGCCCATGATGTAAAGTTAATTGCTAATCTTCCCTCAGCCCCCAAGTGCCATTTAACTTCCTTATTTGTTGGATGACTGCATGAGGAATTCTGGGAGTTTGCCAAGTTGCTGTTTTCCTTTTTTTGTTTGATTTGGAATGAAAAAGGACTTTTTGTAAAAATGGTATCATATCAATTTTATAAAGTTACCTTTAGCCAGTCTTTTGAGAATGAAATGCCTGTATACAGCAAGAGCATTTGGGGCATTAGTGTAGGTTGTATGAGAAAAGAAATATCCGTTTTTCTCTAATCTCTCAACCCTGTTTTCCTCCTCTTTTTCATGCCCCTCAGTTTCTAAATTTAGACTCCCTAGTCCATCTGATTCTTGGTGGCTTGCAAAAATAAAACACAGATTAAAATTAGGTTGAAACAATGTGCTTCACCCTGTAAATACGGACAGTCTTCAGGATGATTTTTGTTTGCTTTCTTTCTGATTCGATGACTTCTGGAAAAGGAATTGTGTTAAGACGTTACCATTTAGAATGTGGTATGTTCTTTATCTTACCGCAGTTGAAATGGTACGGAAAAATTATGTACTTGTGATTTAATGCATGACATTTAGTCTTCAGAATAAGACTGAATTGTGTTAACTTTTTTTTCATATTTGACCACAAGGTGGTGGTGTTTATTATGTACAACCTTCCTGGAGACAAACTTTTTCTAAACCTGAGTAGCCTTTTTTGAAGGCACTAGAGGGTAGTGTTGCTGAACTGTGAACTTTTTCAGGAGGAGGCTGCAAGGGTGTGCAGCAGGAAGAGGGTTAGAGTTTTGTGACTGCTCTCAAGTCATGAAAGGTGTTAGGGCACCACTGAAATAGGATGTCTGCTGAGTTCAGACTGTGATGCTGAGATCTCTGAGCTGAAGAGTGTGAAAACAAAGATGCTGGCCCTGGTTCAGTACATCCCTCAACCACAGTTTTTTCCAGTCTGGGAGGCCAGTTGGGGGAATTGTTACTCATGTGCTTGCCCCAGTCAAACTGTCTTCCTTGGGGATTTGCTGTTGGCTGTTTTCAGAAAGCTGCAGTGGGGTAGATGGAGCTTTGGCTCTAGTCTTTTCTTCTTGCTATGTTCTTGCTCAGTTGAGTTTGAAGATCTGTGTGGTACACAGCCATGCAAAATAAACAGTGTGAGTGCACAAGCTGCCTAATCATCATCATGTGCTGCTATACTAAAGCTGAGATGATACAGTTACATCAAATATCAGGGCTTCTTTGGGGTCTGAGCTAGCTCCATGTGAGCCAGTTGGCTGTCGCTATTGTGGTTTTGGTTTAAGGGTTGGCTGAGAGGTTGGTTCCCAACAAACAAGGACCACGTGACCTAAACCCTTGTGACAGTGATTGAACAAAGTCTCAGGAACAGGGATTATTTTTAATGCGTTATTAAAGCTGACATGAATACTGTCTGGATTCCTAGTGGCTGGAAGTCTGTTATGATGAATATTGAGTCTTTTAGTCTCATGATCTGTAAAAATCAACTTTCAGTTGAAAGTTTTTGGTTTGTCCTTTTGTTAGTAGCATCTCAGTCAAATATGTCAGACGGATACTTTGGGGCATTGATTTTAAATATTCCAGGGGAAGTTGAAGGAGAGAACTGTGTATTTTAATCCTGATCCCTGTAGGTATGTAATAAAGTGTCATTCTTCTAGGGCTGGAGACCAGATACACAAGCTACTCACGGTCCTCGCCCACCAGAGTAAGTCTGCTTCTGTTTCTGATCCATTTGTGTAATTGTGCATTATTAACACAATACATTTGCATTTGTATTGGTATGCAACTCGGTGTTCCATTAAATTTATCCTCATAGGTTTGTTTTCTATGATTTATATTTAGAGTAGAATTTTTGATGCATTATTTACATCAGAATTAAGTTGATTTACATTTGGTTGAGCTTAATGGTAGAGTTTTACTCAGTGCTTTCATATTTATACCTAGTCTTTCTTGAGTATTTTTAATATAATAGTCTCCAAAAGGGGTAAAACTTTTTTGTTTGTTTTAAGTATTAGCCTTTTTTGCAGGTGTTACAGTAAAAATTACAGAGAAACTGCTGTGAAGGGTTGTTACAAGCAAAGGGAAATTCTGTACAGTGCCTATAAAATTTAAAACCTTATAGTGACTTCAGCAGATAAGCAACATCTGCTATTCCAAGCATCCTGTTTGATGGTTTAGGTTTTTTCTTTTACTGAAATACCTTACAGCCAATGTATCTCTCTACATTATTTTACAAGTATGTGTGACTGTGGCCTTGGATTGTTCCTACTGAAGTCAAAGAACTTCAATTTCTGTGTACCGTCAGTCATTCTCTAATAAAAAAAAAGACTGGAAATGAAAGAGCTCTCTTATTCCAAGAAGTAATCTTGTTACAATTCCAGAGTATACCTGGAATAAAGGCAGAAGACACAGAGATGCTTTGATGAATTGGGAGATGTTTTAATTTCTTTAGCACAGTGGAAGCCAACTATACTTCAATATTTCATTCTGCTTAATCTCTTCCAAAAAGTTTGGAAGGTTTGCATCACAAGGAGCTGTCGCTTCCCTGTTGCCTCTCTGGTGACTGATTATAGAGGGATATTGCTGCAGACCTGCTGTGGAAGACAGGAATAAAGGATCCCTGATTTATGATCTTGTTGCAGCAGCTCCTGTTGGTGAGTGAAGAGAAGCCAGGATGGCCATGCTGGGAGTGAGGAATGGCCTTGCAGGGGCCTTTTTCGGCTGCCCAGGGTAGTATGCATCTGGGGAAGAGGAAAAGCTCACTGGCAAGTTCCTGAGCTGAAGCAAGAGGGGCTAATAGGGATTTGCCAAGTAGGCCATCTCCAGTTCTAGTGGCACTGCTCATAGCAGGGCAATTTTTGTGAAGGAGCTAATAATAATAACTAACAGGCAATTTGTTTTTGCTGTAATTGGAAAGTAAGAGAACGTATTGCTATTAAAATTGTTTTAACTTCCTGCAGGGTGCCATGCCTAGATCTAGGGAGGCTGGGAGATTCTGATGAAGAGGTAATTATAAATTAATTCTGTCCTGAATAGTTTTTAGAATTCATGTGTTGCAGGAGTTTATAAAAATATCACCCTCACTGTTGAATATAAAACAATTAGGATTGCTTGTCCTTTTTTTTTGTTTGTTTGTTTTCTGTAATTTTAGGATGGGGACTCTTACATACCATACAGCGGAAGTTATCCTCATACATGCCCTCTAGATTCATCTTCAGATTGGAGAACGTCATTACAAACACCATATGCACAGCATCATCAGGCTCAGCAGGTCAGTCTGTCACTACAGACATCTTTAAAATATGCCCCTTTAGCAGTAATTTATAAGAGCATACTTAGCTTTAATATACAAGTTCTCTTTATTTCTTTTGGTTACTCAAAGTGCTTTTGGTGCCAAATATTTTTGGCAAAGTACTTTTTACTGAAAAACCTCTAGAATATTTAAAAAATCCGATTTTCTTAAATACCTTAGCTTTTCTTTGTTGGTTGATACACTTGTCCGTTTCATTGTACTTGTTTTTGAAGAGATATATTAATAGCTGGCTTTATTAACAATTTGTCAAAGCAGCTGAAAAATGTTATACTTTTCAGGTAGCATGTAACTTTGGTTTATCTTTCTAAACAAAGAGGAAATTACAAAAATAATAAAGATAAGATCAATAGTAGTTGGTAAGCATCTGATTGAAGAAAAACAACAAGTTTACAAACAGTAAGTATTATTTGTATGGACGAATTTACCTTGTTGGTAAGCATCTGATTGAAGAAAAACAAGTTTACAAACAGTAAGTATTATTTGTATGGACGAATAGTTACCTTTGGTGGAAAGGAGACTTTTGGAGTTACATGCAGCCATTTCATAGGGTTTTTCTTAAGTCTCTTGTCTTTAAAACAGAACTGTGATGTTAACTTTGGAATTATGTTCAATTTGTCAGAGCACTTCTCTTGTAAAATTTCCTGATCATGTATCAGCATTTTCTTTTTTCCTGGGTGACTAAGAAACTAAAATACTACTAATCTTAGGAGCTTTATAAGGAAAATCAGTAGTCCAGATGCTAACATTCTGGTTTATAGTACAGCACTGTTTGGGATTCATTCTTAAACTTGTTATAGAGGATATTTGATTGAACTACTCAGTTACTACAATTGTTCCCTGAGTGCAGGAAAAATTTTCCTTTGAACTTTTATATCTGAATTAAATTTGAAAAAATGAATGTTACATTTTTTTATTTGATCATTGGTACATATTTAATTTCTCTTTTCCTTTAGTTTAAACAGGTGTCTAGAAAACCTTGTCAGAAGAAAATAGAGGTAAAGTAGCTGAAAAAATATACATTGATACAATAACTTTGGCAACTCAGAAGCAGAGTACTATAGTATATGGTCTGAAAATGTAGTATGTTTTAACTTCTTTTGTGTGACAGCAACTAGCTTATTGCAGAGACTATTTTTAACTTGCTGTCATTCCATCAGTATTTTGAGTGTTTCAAATGTGATAATTAAAGGGAAAATGCTGAAGTACTGCAAACAGTAGTCTTCTGTTTGTAGTCCCTATATATTTGAGGGAAGATGTCTGGAGCTTTAACCTAATACAAGAATGCTACCTACGTGATTATTTTCTGTCATAATCATACACCATATCATAATCTTGGTAAAAAGCTTGCTAGTAGTAGTACGTTTTTATTTGGTTAGGGTGCAGGAAATATCCTAACTTATTAATGTTATATCTTTTTGGCAGAATTGGAAAATACTGTTTAAAAATCCATTATTTCAAGAATATTTAATTTATGTAAACCTAAGAAATACTCTAGTGAGTGTGTTTCAAGCAGAAATATAGCTAGAGCGAAAACCAATTAATTAACTTGTACATAACCTGTGCCTCTTGAAACGTTTAATATAGTGACTGGTACGGCAGGATGCCAAATTGGCTGGAGCTCAAGGTGAATCTGCCAAGATCATAATTCTGTATGCTTCCCTATATAACCAAATGGTTTCTCAACTTGGGGGGAAAGAAACTGCATTTAAATAAAAACTGAAATAGTTAAGGTTTTTTTAAAATAATGAACTAAGAATGTGCTACTCCTCAGAATAGCTATGCGCCCAACACAGGTATTTATGCATGTGTTAAGATGTATTGGTAAATATGTAACTACAGATAGGTTATTTTCCTCTGTGCTGTATTGTAAGTGTGCAGTGCAAACATACTTGAATCGCTGTACTCTTTTTAGGTTTGGATGCCTGTAATTTCACCACTTGCTTTACCTTTTTCAATATGAAGTTCATTCATATAATTCTGTCTGGCTGCAGGAAGGCTAATGGAGGGTTGGTATGGCTTTGTCTGCCAGGGTCTGTCTTCCTTTCTGCTCTGCTTTCCTTTATCTCTTGTTGCTTCCTTTCTGCCTTCATTATGTCTTAAATACTGGTGCACTGAATGCACAGGAATGTATCTTCTGTTCACTTACCCTCTCTTGCTCTCCCTCTCTCACTTTTTTTGCCTGACTTCCCTTCCCCTCCCCCCCTTTTCTTTTTTGTGGAGAAGATTTTCAAGCACTTCTAAAATATTTTCAAGTATTCCTCTGAGCGGCTTTTATTTCTGCATTGCTTGCTTCTGGGGTCCTGACTGAGCATTCCTTTAGCAAGATATATTCCAGCTTCTTCAATAACAGACTGTGTAAGTAAATCTTCCCAGAACATGTCACTTTTGGAAGAATAATTTAAATATTAAATATATAAATATATATTAAATACAGTCTTATCTTAAGGAATTAACCAGTGAAGGGATGTGGGTCCTCTTTTTGAAAAAGAAAGCTGCCCTTTCAAGAACATAAATCTTTTGGGGTTTGAGAAATGGTTTTCTAGAACAGGACTATTACACTGGTGTTGCGAGACCAGATGTGTCAAGTGGAGATTCTAGATAAGGCTGTGTTAGTTTTGTTAGCGTTGAAGGTATATCAGTTAAACATTGAAGGTGTTAGTTATTCAGGGAGACAAAAAAGAATGGAATCTTGGCTTTCTGTCATTGCTGCTGTTTCTACTGATCCAGCCTCCATTGTGTAGAGCAATGAAATGGACGTAAAGTTAGGAAGGTACTTAGATGGCTTCACAGCCTTTTCAGCTGATGTTCTAGGGAAGGAAGTCCCAGTACTAATACTCATCTGCCATGTAAGAATATTAAATCTTCTGATTTAAAAAATCCATTAGCCCATTTTGAGCCATCCAAAGTCAAATGTCAGAATTCCTATTTTAGTGATCTGTAACATTACCTTACAGGACAGAACCACTGAATCTTGGCTTCTCTCTTTAAAAGTGATGTAAAACCATTTGGCTATGTACTTTTTTGATTAAAAAATTGCAGAATATGAAGAACTCAACGAAAATTAAGCCTGAATATGCAGTCTTATTTGATTTTTTTTTTCTTAATGTGAAGCATAGTGTCAAGAAGTTTCAGAAATTATACTGCATGGGAATTATAATAATGCTGTTCTCATTCAATAGATCAACCAGAGGCTTTTATATTGATTACTTTTTGCTTTAGCATTCTGTTTTGGAGCAGAAGACAATACCAGAGAATCTGCCATCCCCAACAGATGGATATAAACTGAAGTATCGTCAGTATGAAGCAGATTTGAAGGAAGAATATAGGCAGTATTCTCAGAGAATTGCAGAAAAGAAAAAAGACCACTTCCAGCATCCAGAAGCTTCAATAAAGGTAGCTGGCAAAGGAGTAATTGCATTTTTAAATAGCCAATGTATGCTGGTATTTCATGATGATGCTTGTAGAGGTTTGCATGTGTATGTAATTAATTTCTTCCATGTTTTTATCGTAAAGAAATAAACCCAAGTGTGATTCCAGCATCTGATGTTGAGTAGGAAATAAAATATAGGAAGCTTGTTTCAGTCGTTCCAGAGCAAAAAACAGTAGTGCTCTGAGATTCTAAGTATGCTTGTATGATCTGGTACGAAGTGTAATACTTGCCTTCATAGTGCAACTCTAGCCTGAGCATGAATATTAGCATGATTGATAGGGAAGAGTTTGCAGCCTAAGAAGATGCGAGACAGTGGGAAGATCGTAGTAAAATGTTATTTCCAAACACAGAAATGCATTCCAGCTTTTTTATTTTTTAAATATAGAAGCATATTAATTATTATTCTATTCAATTTTGACTGTATATAGGACTTAAAAAAGGAGAAGTGAAAGATGTACTCTGTACCTTAGAGAACTATTAACGTTGAAAATGGAAGGCAATATGGGATTAAAATAATGAAAGATGTTATCTGTACTTTTTGCTTTGATGTTGTATAAGATCCAGTACAGTTGGACTGCAAAGTTGGACTGCAAGCTGTATTAATTCTGCTAGGTTTCTTTTGTGTTTTTAAATTAAAACTAAGATGCAAACAAGGGAACATCAGTGGAGAGAAGCTGGAAAACAAAGGGGTAAAAAACCCCAACTTTCCTCTTGTTCTGGAAGAGATATTGGGGAAGGGTGGTTACATCATTGTAGCTGTAAGAAAACAGGAGACAAAAGTAAGCAACAGCTGTCAGGACTGGTCGAATGCTAGGCTGTGCTGAGGGTAGATGACCGTTTAAGAATCTTAATGAAAAGTTAAGTATGCAGATGTTGAGGGAACATATTGTGCTCATTGCTTTTCAGAGAAAAGGTTTGTGATGAATAACAATGAGTTTACTGATTTTACTTGCTTAATGTTCAGGAGAATGAAAAGGGAAGGTCTTACATAAGACAAAGGTTATGTTTCACATATTGTTTTACACGTATTGTGGATAGTTTTAAAGGGGCTTTCTCCTCTTATACTCACACTTCTAGTGTTCAGATAAAACTTGGAGAACACGCAAGTACCTATAAGTAAACATTCTGTGACTAAAAGAGTTGAGTGAAAAAACATTTCTGTTATTTTGTTAAGTTTAGTTTTATGTTTGGTGGCAGTTAAGATTGTGAGTTCTGGGGATTTGTTGTAGTATTACGTTTTTTTTTAATGATTCTACTCTTATGTATCAGTCTGACACCATTATGTCATCTGCTTTCCAAGGAGTAACTCTTTTATGCTGTACTGCAAGCCTATCAAAAGGGTATTTACAGGAGCAGCCAAGTTAATGCAAAACTGAAGAAATAGGTGGCAAGTGCATACTGGGAGAGAAAAAGCAGGACTAGCTTATTCTGGTGATTTTGGGTTCAGAAAGATTCTTGCTAAGCACTAAAAGCCACGTGTGTCAGCTCTTATGACAGATTTTAATATAATGTCTAGCAGAACAGTTTCTGTGTTAGATATTATCACTTCCTGATTAAATTAATAAATCAAAACCTCTTTAGATTTCAAGATATTTATTATTTTATCTGATTAGTGGAACTTGTAATAACTTTTATTCTCCAAAACGAAGCTGCTCCTAGAGGAGCATAGCTAGCAAACCTACTCTTTTGATTTCTTTCCCATGTTTCCTCCTTCCTGACTTCTGGAAACACAGTCTTTGTCAGTTTTCGTATATCTTTATTTCTTTATATATAGGTGGTATTTCCATAATACCTCCGACTGCTTGACAAGTCCATTAGACCCAGTTCAGCAGTATGCTTTGGCTTTTCCCTGTCTACACTGTATTTAACTTCTTTGGTCAAAAAGCAGCATCTCTGCAATGGTGAACTTTGAGCTATATACATAATGGCAAATCTGCTGCTTTCTCTTGGCTGTTCTTGAGCAGAACAGAGAAAGGATGAGCTCTTGTCTTCTTCAGAGAGGTGCTGATACTTTACAAAGCTTGTAGGAACACAGCATTTTTGAGATTTTTGGTTTTTTATTTCAATATGGTTGAAAGCTGGTAAGTGTTCAAAAGGTATAAGGACAGCTAGGCTTAAAAACATTCTTTACTTTTTCTAATTAGCATGATGTGAAAGAAGCAGACACTTTAAAAAATAAAGAAGAAAGAAAGAAATACTTTTAAATAAATTGTTGAGGAAAATGTGTGGGGGGGTTGTTTTTCTTACAATTGATTACATTTGATTTATGAAAATAATGTGGTGTTGTATAGGGTACACAGCTTCAAGATAGACATAATGATGATCTTACAGCTCTTGATGAGAAAGCTCTCCTGCAACAGTGCTACGCAAGCAAGCCCTATAATATACAGCACAGTATAAGGAAATCAGAAGCTGTAAGTATTTTGGCTGATATTGTACTGTTAACTATCTGGACTCATAGAATGACTTCCCAGATGTTCAACAGAAGTTAGACCTTTGAAGATTTGGTCATAGTATGTAATTGCACCCATTCAAGTCATGGGAGTTTAAACATTTGCTTCAAGGAGACATGAACTGAACAATCCAGTGAGCAACTTTTTAATATTATCTGCAATGCTTGTATTTTATGCAGTATTGTATATAAATTAGAATACAAATTATGAATAATAAATACAAATCTATACATACAACTCAGAATAACTGAGTGACTTGTGTGAACCTGAGTACAGTGTTATATTTCCTCTGGTCTGTAGCTTGTACCTCAGCCTGTATTCCATGATCCATGCATTCCATGATTCCATCAGCTCTTACTCTGACTTGTTTCTGGAGTAATCAGGCTGTTTTCCCTCATTAACTCTTGAAATGGAGTATATGAGAACTGGCTTTGTAAGCTGCATGGGCTCTGCTGTGGGTATTGGATTGGGTCAGCCACAGCTTTGGCTGAGTCTTCAAGCTTGGATAAAGCTTCTACAGCATCTCTAGGCAATGTTGTCCTGTGATACACTACTCACCTTGTGAAGAAGTTCTTCCTAATATCCATTCCAAACCTCCCAAGACTCAGTTTGTAACCTTGGCCTCCTGTTATACTGTTGCCCACTGTCAAAAAAAGTTCAGTTCTATCTTTGTAACTTACCTTTAGTTGTAGGATGTTTTCAGAATGCCTCCTAGCTGCTGCTTCTGCAAACTAAACAAACCCAAGTTCCCTTAGCCTCTCCTTTCAGTTGCTTTGGCTCTGATCCTCTGTTAGATCTTTTCCAAATTCCTCTCATCCCTATTGATCTTGGGAAGGAGGGAGACCCAAAAACTGAAAACAAGTATGTCCTCGCTAGCATGTGAAGGAAATTAAATAGTAGAGGGGAATTAAAACTTTTCTTATATGGACGTACACAGTATGTTTCTTTAATTTCATATATAGACATGATTTATACTCTTTTTTTAGGATTGAACAATAGGAGTCTTGCCCATCTAAGCCTTGAATTTAGGTTTATTCACAATGAACCTTGAGATTTGATATTGCATGATTCAGTATTTGCATATGCAGAGCGATGACTTTCAAAACTGGTTTTTGAAGGAATTGTTGAACAGAGTTAGAATGCTAATTTTCTGATGGAATAGTAAGCCATGAGAAATGTTACAAGGTTGTAAAAGTAAATAATAATTTTAATTTATTTTGTTTGCTTATCACTATGCGCTGAATTTTGCATCATTGCAAACATTTATTTGATTTCTAGTCTCATCAAAGTGAATGTGGGTGTTGCACTACTGAGGTTGCTATTCATTTTCATGATAAGAAAATCTTTTCAGAAAGTACTTTTATGAAGAACTTGAAAAACTTCCTATTTGGTTTTTTAGAATCGATACAAAAATCTATACTATAGGGTGAAGATAATGGAAAAAAGTTTTGAAGTATCATTAGAATAACTACTTAGTGCTAAATCAAATAAGCTGAAAACACCAAAAAAAGGAGCAGTGCAGGACCACAAAATGACAGGTACCCTGCAGCTGGTATGCTTTAAAAGGAAGCCAGGAGGCATCTGAGCAAGGTGTCATGGGGACCTTTGGAAGCACTTTTGTTACTGATTACCACTCATGGTTTCACAGGCTGGCTGTCTCTTTCTAGGAGTATCTCTTAGGTTCTGATAGTGGTAGCAATAGTGGAAAAAATGGGAAGTAGTAACTTCCAATTTTTATTATTATATTATAGTAATTCCATTGGGTATACACTGCTTCAGTTGTAGGCATTTAATTTTAAGGTGTTTTAAAAATTTGCTTAAGAATACAAAATGTTAAGATTTCCTTTTACCGTAATCCTTACCAAAACCTCTAACGTTAAAGTAGAATTTATCTCAATTTTTCTGTAGTTTGAGATGAAAGTTCCCTTTGCAAGACATTATAGTATGTGTGATTACCAATAGATGCTATATATAATAAAATCAGGGTTTTTTTGAAGAAGGTTGGTTTTGTCTGAATAATCATAATTTGTGAACAAGAGTTACAACTTTTTAAACAGTGAGAGCTGCTGCAAGTTCAATGTTTGCCTTGGCAATTTTGTAAATTCATAGTAGAGCTTTTGTCTCAGTAGTTTTGTAAGTTCAGAGCAGAGCTTTTGTCTAAGAGCTGAATGGAAGATGTTCCATGGAAGAGTACATATAGTGACCTAGTATTCAACTGAAATTCAAGGTGTAAGGTTTCTTTTTTAAAATCAGGTTCTTTTCCGCCTGCTAGCTGGTTTGGCTCTGCAAGCCAGGGTCCTTGGAATACGTTGTGTTTTAACAAACACTGCCCTGTATTATCTCCTCCTTTACATAATGCCTTTCAATACATCTGTTGCGACAGTTAACGGGCAAATATTCAATAACTTGGAATAAAGCACCTCTAGTTCTGATTGGTGCAAAAATGAAATATGAAAGCAAACTAAAAAGCCTGCTATCTTCTATAATTCAGGAATTTTTTAAGGCTTAAAATCAGTTTGGAATAAACACCAGCTGGTCCTGTTGTTATTTATGTGGGGTTTTTTGGTGGTTTTGGGATTTTGTTGGTTTTTTTGGTTTGTTTTTTTTTTTTTTTGCTAGTGCCAATTAGTAATTACTTGAAGTTTGTGAATTATACCCATTATCATCTCTGTGGAACTAGGGATTATCCCTTACAGTTACCTGGTGTCTGGGAACCAACTTCCGGTTCTTTCTTCAGCTGTGGGAAGGCTTGATCTATCTAGAATGTGGTTTACACACAAGAACTGTGTGGAAAAAATAAGCAATCAGAAAAACATCTTAATTCTTCAGTTTCAAAATACCTACAGAATTGTCCTAAAGGTTGCATAACCCCCCTCAGTAACAGTAATCTTTGTTTTCTTATATTAAAAAAAAAAATTAGGAGAAAAAAGCCAAATCTTAGTGCAGTGAAGAAGTTTGGAAATCTGGAAGATAAAACGAAGAGAGATGCTGGGGCCTGGTTGTTGCCAATGGCCTCCATGCTGTCTTGGGACATCCTCTTGTGCATTGGTTTCTCTTTTTGTGAAACAAATGACAATCAACGTCTAAGCACTTTACAGTGAACGGCACAAGGTTATGCTTCAGTGTTACTCTAACAAAAATAATAAGATGATCATGTTAAATCCCCTTCCCGCTTTGGATGCTCTTTCCTGAAAGGTTTTTCAGATTGGACTGTCTCAGCAGAAAATTATTGTGGCATGCAGCAAATAAAAATTGTGCACTGAGACTAAATCTTAAAAGAATTTTTTTGACTAAATATTGCTGGAGGTAAAGTTTCATTCTATGAGTTGGAATCTGTGTCAACTGTGAAACCTGGAACAGTGTGAGTTTCCTCAGGCTCTATTGTACTTACAGAATTTATTGGAAACAGTACAGAGATAAGGATACTGTCTGTCAACAGAAATACTGGAGTTCTCATATTTATTGACAACTAATATGCATAGAGTGTGTAGCAGAGAATATTATTTGCCTATTTGTTATGCAAATAGAACTCTATTCTAAAAGATGGAAAGTAAAAGATTAATTGTGACATTCGTAAGATTGTGACCTCTGAATGCTATCTTAAAGGGTAAATTATTATTTGAAGTGTCTGGTGTTATATATTTAATTTTCTCTCAGTCACTTTTTCATTGCAGGAGGATGTTGCTGCAGAGAGGAAAAAACAGACTGTAGTAGAACAAGTGATGTTGGATCAGTTATCAAGGTAAGTGAATTTACAATGCAAAATTTCAGTTTTC